GGTGCAGGGTGCAGGTTTCAGGCACTGAAATGCTTACCTCAAGAAAAAGAAAAAAGAGGGGAGGAAGGAAAAAAGAAGAGACATCAGCAACTTCTTGAGTCTGGCCTAATGTTCTGGCCCACGCTGCTGCAATACAGCCAGTTTTCACTGTCCCTAATTTCATGTATATACAGGTCTTTTATTTATTAAACCATTGGTTGTTTAAAATGAAATAAATAACAAAAGCAAAGCTGCGTCCTGCAAGCAGCAGAAGGGCAAACATCGGATGTGATTGGAACCAGATTCAAAACCAAGTAACCAGCAATAAAGCACATAAACATCCGAGGCTTCATGTAAATACATGGGACTTGATACTCACAGGTGCTATGGGCCAGCCTGTGTCTGGTGCTGTCATGTTTGTGTGTTTGGGTTTTGATTTGTTCATTCTCTTCTTTCTCTTTTTACCCCCCTTTTTGCTGTTTTGTACAGATTTTGGAGCCATACAGGTAGATACAGTTTCTTGATGCAGAGTGCTGTTGTTTTCTCTGTAATGTTCCAGGAATCTTTTCCTTGCTCTTGTTTTATTTTTGATTTCTATTTGTAGACCAGTGGGTTTTTTCTCTTGTAATCCAGCCTTAGGAAAGCACGAGTCCTGTAACTGTAAAACTTTGAAATCTGAGGGGCAGGAACTTCTTATCAATTCTGAACTTTTTATTGTAAAGACAGAGCGTACAGAGTTTAACAACGTTACGCCTTTCCTTCTCCCAGCACCAGCCCCAATGCTGCCTCTCTGCTGTTGGGGTCACAGCCTGGGTTTTGCCAGAGGCCCTGGGGTGCAGATTGCACCAGCTTGTATTTTTCAGGCAAGTGGCCCTGGAGACCCCCCAACCCCAGCCCAGGCTTCCCAATGCACCCACAGCCCAGAGATGCTGTGCTGGGATGTGTGGTGTCCGGGTGATGGCCCTTTGCTGGGAAGCACAGGACCAGACTGTTACTAGCCCTGCATGGTCTGCACTTCTGACAGCATCTGTATCAGCTGCCAGTCACTGCCCATCGGCTGAGGTTTCATTAGCTGGACACTTCTCTGTCTTTACCAGTGTCTGTCAGTGTGTTCCGGGGTGCTCAGTGTGTGTTGGGCACAGCTGATGTGCCTCTGTCTCTGACCCATGTCCTGGCAATAACATGTTTGCTGTAGAAAAGAGGCTCTGTGTTTTGGCTTGGGCTGAGAGAGAAGCTGTGTTGCTGTTAGGTACTGAGCCCCTCCTGTGAGTCTCTGGGCACCTTTGGCTTGTTTTGCAGTCTCCAGGGTGCTTGGCCTGGTAGTAGGAGGCTCTCGAGTCTTTGCAGATGATTTCCCATAGCATTTGGAATTGGATGAAGTGGGGAATTCCAGTTCTTACTGAAACGAATGTTTTTGCTTTGCCGTTAACAATGGAGTTATTTAGTTCCTGTATTTTAAATTCTGCCCTCAAAAAATCTTCCCCTCACCAGATCCTTAGCAATATATTTTCAGGATTTCCTCTGAGGAAATGTACTATCCACCTAATGAAGAGCTTGGGGGGTTTAATAGGTTGGGTTTCATCTGTGTTTCTCCTATTGTCTGAGACTTGCATTAGCGAAACCAACTAGTGTTTTAATTAAGATAATTGCAGCCACTTCAGTACCATGGCAACTTGGATAAACAAGCTCCCAGCTTTCCCTGCTTGAAACCTTTCCTTGAGCGCAGTGCCTGGAGCCGTGCTGCTGCTGTGCTGTGGTGGGAGAACAAAGCCCAGGCAGTGCTGTAGGCAGCACCAGCTGCAACCACCAGCATCACCACCACGCAGAGCCCAGGGACTGGCTCTGCAGGGTGCCACCATCGCTGCTCCAAACTGACTGCACCAGGGACACACCTTCCTCTGTCCCACCACAATCCATGGGAAGGCTGGAGCCAAAGGGTTGGGGACCAAGCACAAAGTGATGGAAAGGGCCCTGCAGCGCTGGAGGAGGATCCCATTGTACTTGGCAAACCTGCCCTGGCTTGGGGCTTTGCAAGGAGAACAAGCAATGAGAGCCACTGAGGAGCATGAAGAACAACCTCTGCATCTCATAAACCTGCTGCAACTTGAGCTTCCAGTTAGTGGGAAACTGCGTGTTTTCATGGCAAGTAAGGTGTTCCCTACGGGACGGCAATTCACAGGAGAAATCCATGTTGCCATGACCTTCATTTCAGGAAAGAAGTTGGTGACTCCCCATTTCCAAATGTTGTTCTTACACTCTTTATTTTCGTGTTGTTTGTAGTGCTGGTTCTCTCCTGCCATGTCAGTAGTGGTGCCTCTTGTACCTGCAGAGCAGAGTGTCTCCAGGAAAGAAGAGCTGTTTTCAGTCCATAGTAAGTAGCAGCTGCCCTTAATGAGTTGGAAATTGAAACCATAGAGCATTTATTTAACTGAGTTCGTGTTGCATGACCTGGCAGTGCAGGTGTCATGAGAACTTTAAAACGATCAAACATAAAATGTTTGAAAATAACAGGGTTTTCTTAAAACTTAATAAAGAAAATTGAGATTTTTATGGCAGAATTTTGCTTGAAGGAGCAAGTTTAACTTTGTTTTCCAGGGGAAGCTCCACTGAAATCAGTCTGATTTCAGGTATATGCATACACACAAGTAGTTTTATTGAAACTTTTTTTCTGAGAAACTCCTGTTCTGACCAGACCTCTTATGAACCAGCATCCCTGCGCCTTGGAAGCTCTGTAGACTCCATCTGATTATAAGCTCAGCCTGTTTCTCGCTGTTCATCAGCCGTGGGCTCAGGAGGGCAGTGGGAGCTACTCGAGGGATCTGTTGGGTACAGCAGCTTCCTGCGAACCAAATGTCTGTACAAAAGCATTTCCTTTTGTATCGATGTGATTTTAAACTTTCCTACCGACAGGGTTTGTAACTGTGGAGCCGACGCTTCAGGACTGTGTAACCTGTGTGTGTGATAGCCGCACGCATACCCGAGCGAGTCTGCGTGTACGTGTGCACATTAGTTCCCCTGTGAGGTCTCTTTCCATGTTCTCCATGTGGTAGAAGCAGACTGCAGCCACCTAACCTAGCTCTTGCTCTGTTTTGGGGACTTTCGGACCAGTTTTTAGGTTTTTCCTTGTTTTGAAAGGAATGATGTTTTTTACAGTTGGGGTTGGAGCTGGGGGAAGGGATCGGGCATGACACAAACCCCACCACCTTTGTTGTAATCCTGGGTTTTAAAGAGACCTGCTCTCGCACGGAGCGGTTCCCTGGGGTTGAGTGGGCAGGCTCTGTGCTGCTGGGGATGGGTTCATCCCATTGCAGCATCCTCTTGCTTGTGAACAACCAGATGCTTTTTTAACAACTGGTATTTGCAGCTCTTTGTAACTGTCATTTTTAGAACTAACCAAACCACCAGCACGGGATTTGGCACAGGCCGCTGGGAACTCCCCTGGTCCTGACAGAACCAACGCAGACAGATCTGTTGGTGTATTTTTTGGGTTTTGTTTTTTTAATATTTAAAAGAATGTTACTTTTCTGTATGATGTGCATGCAAGTTTACCGTAACTTTTTCTTAAGCCTTTTTAGTGCCATTTCTAGTATATTCCTGTAAATGTCAGTTACTGAGGAGAAATGAGTCAATGTAAGTAGTTTTAGCTTGTTCATTGCAAATTGCTGGCCTCAAACACGACAGAATTTAAAAGGAAGAGTTAGAAAGTAATCTGTGATGTTACTGGTGATCACGGACCCTGGTCCTGGGCATTCGGTTTCTTTTCATAATAAAAAGAGAAATTGTTTTGTGTGTGCAGTTTGATCCTGCGTTTTCCCCTCTCCTCTCCCTTTCCCTTTCCTTGTCTCCTTGTGCTTGCTTCAGCTGCAAACCTGTAGGGCTTTGCTGGAGCAATCAGTGGCGTTGCTAGCAGACAGACAGGAGTATAGGAAGAGTCCCAGTGCTGTGAGCCTTGAACTCATGTGGAGTAATTCTCAGGTCCAGCTGTCGGTGCAGTGGCACACAAATGCTCTAAATCCACCCTTGTGCGGGTGAGGGATGCACTCTGCTGCTTTAATGCACCAGGAGAGCCAAGGAAGGACTTTTACTCTTCCTGCAGATTATGTGGAATTGCATCTGAGTGATGGAAGTTCAGCTGAGAAGGAGGAGATGGAAATCCTAACCCAGGTTTATGTCCCGGCACTGGCAACAGCACCAGCTCCTCCAGCCAGGGCTGGTCAGTAAGCCCAGGGTGATGGGGATGTGGAGGGCGCTGCTGGGACAGGGGCACCCAGAGGTGCTGCTCACAGGCATGGCCCAGTCTTGACATTGCTGCGTGGTGGCCAAGTTCTGTTTTGGTCACTTGGGAGGATTCAGGTTGGGTTTGCTGTTGGGTTTCTTTGCATGCCTGATGGTTTATTTATAAGGTAAGGGTTACAACAGCCAAGTTTACCCAGGGTTAATCTTTCTCTAATCCTGTTCCTGCTCACTGCACTTAAAAGTCACAATTCAAGGTTTTGGCAAACCTGTTTTGCTTTGCTGTTGGTGTAGCTGTGTTGTGTGGTGGTGTATTAGTGATATCCCACAGGTCATGTTTGTTCAACCCATCCTCACAATCATAGTTGCCCCACAGGAGGATGTTTGGTATTTACTAGTGACTTAGTGCTGGGTGCATCAGTGTCTCTTCCTACAGCCCTGGAGGAGGTTGAGGACAAGCACAACCTATCTGAGGTTCAGCTCACACTGACAGCAATGGAGATCATTCATTGTATGTGTGATGCTCAGGTGTGTCTTTGTCTGGGTCAAGCCCAGCGCACTGTTGAGGCTTGACCAGGCTCTTGGGCTTGGGAACCTGGAGCAGGCTTCTCTGCATGGGCTGCACTTCACATGTGACTGGAGTGGGGGGCAATGACCCCCAGCTGCACCTGTAACTGAGGCGGCTCCCAGCTGGGAGCTGCTGCTCTGCTGCCTTTCCATCTGTGGGTTGTGACCCTCAGTGTGCCCAAGTGCTGAGCACCCAGGAGAGAACCGGCCACTCATGATGCTGCGTTCAAATCACTTTAATGCTCTTTACCAAAGAGGCTACAACAGCATTTAAACAAGTGCATCAACACAACAGCACTGCTCACAGCAGCCACTCCACAAGCCTGCTGTGACTAAAGAGGACACGGATGTGGAAATGAAACAGTCACGTTCACAGCGTGAGGGAGAGCAAGTCCTACTTCCTGCACTGTCCCATCCAGGCCCAGTCCTGGAGGAATTTATGCGCATACCTAGGATTTTCTTGAGTATTCCAATTAACACTCTTCAGGTAACTGAATCTTGGTTTACCAGCCAGGTTTACAAAAAGAGCCTGATTAGACCCAAAGTAATCAACTCTCTTACTGAAACTAAACAGAAAAATGAGTTGTGGGCTTTTTTCTATGAGAAAAGTGAAGGAAATGACTTTGGGCTGCACTGTTCCTGAGGTTCCAGGGTGCTCCCGCACTCCTGAACCCCCCTCTCCTGTGCTCCGGGTCCCTTCACCCGCAGCTCCCTGCGGCTCAGTCCAGTCCATGGGTGTCAGTGGCACCAGGCACTGATTGGAGCCGGGTGGCTGCACACCCCAGGCAGTGCTGCACAGAACACCCAGCACAGGGCCCTGCAGCTCTCCCCATCCCGCTGCTTCCGTGAGCTGCATTGAATGGGGTTTCCCCGGCTGGAAAATTCACCAAAGCCCTTCCCAGCCAGGGCTGGTGCTGGTGGGATCATGAGGGCGGTGAGAGCACGTGGAGGTCTGGCTCTATGAGCACACACGTCAGGTACCAACACATGCATGAACAGCGCTAAGAACCCCAAAAGAGCTGCCTCTGGTTTGCAGTGCATCCACGTGCTGTGGCTCAGGGCCGAGGACACCAAACCTCCACCATCTCATGTTAGAACAGGTAAGTTCTGCTCAGCAGCCCTGTGTGTGCATTGGAGAGATTCTTCTTCCCCTTGTTAAAAATAAATAAATAAATAAATAAAGTGCTCAAACAAAATGCAGAAGAGGTTTTAGGTAAATAGAACAATGCCTGTGCCTAATTGTAGGCAGGAAATGCCCAGACTGAAGCCAACATTCAATACTGATTTGCCTGAAGGTGAAGCCTGGGCTCAACTGCTGCTGGGCTGACACACAGGGCTATGGGAGGGCGTAAAGGGAGGCTGTGATTAGCCCAGCGTTACCCCTCAGTGCTGAGCCCAGGTGTAATCAGCACCCGGGAAGTGGCACCGCTCTGGTCTCAATGAGATGTAGGTGCTGGGCTGGGTTTCTTGGTGCGATCTTGCCTTGAGCAAGCTGGGGATGGGGCTCCAACGGAGGCAGCCTGGAAGCAGCCTCTCCCCCAGTGCAGTTGTACTCTTCCCTCCTGCAGTCCTCCAGCTGACACAATTTAAACCGACCAAACCTACTCCAGCCCCAGTCAGGATTGAACCCTCCCGAGCTGCTGCGTGCACCAAGGCTCAGTGCAGCTCCCGCGGCTGCGCCTGGGGCAGGAGCACTGCAGGGCTTCCTGTGTGTCCCTTGCAGCAGATGGGTGGATTTACAGTCACTTTCTCCCTGCTGCTCCTGGGCCTGTCCCTCCCTTCCGGGTGCCCACTCGGTGGCTGGTGCCAAAGCAGGGGCTTGGGGAGCTGTGGGAAGGGAGCAGTCCCAAAGTCCCGTCTGATCCCCAGTTGTGGTTCCAGGGAGGGCCCTTTGCATGAAACTCCAGTGCAGCTTTTCCTGACGGGGTTCTGGAGGCTCAGATGAAACTCTCAGCACATCTTTTCCCTCCTCCCCTCAATAAATCGCCTCGTTCCTGGATGTATGAGACCGCTTCCAGGCTGTAACTACAGGGAGGCAGCGCACACTGAACAAGTGATGGCCATGTAGCTGTGCGGATCAACCTTCCCGTAATCCTGGCCTCGATGGAAGCGGATCCGTGCCCGTGTCTCCCGCCAGCCCCTGCAGAGCTCTGGCGATCCATATGGACGAGCGATGGAAGTGCTGGCTGGGGATGGCTCTCAGATGACTGCAGGTGCTCCTCACCGTACCCAAGCCACTTACACCCAGCACATGGTCCAACACGAACCATGCCAAGACACCAGGCAGCAGACACGGGCTTGTGAGCTCCGGCTGAGGCCGGGGTTCTACACACACCTCACGACGTGCAGACTGATGCTACAACAGCGACAACACACACAAACCTCAGACAGTTCCTGGCCTGGGCCCTGTGCCTGCCCTGCACGGGTCTGCCCTGCGGGTGCTGCAGCCCCATCCCTGCAGCCCGAGGCCAGCCTGGCCGCTCTCCAGAGCGATCACATAATAGCACAGAACTTGGACTGCCCCGTGTCCCTGGGCACATCCAGCTTGTTCTTGTCCCGCACCAGGATGGCTTCGTTCCCGTACTGCGAGTACCACATGCTCCGGCTCCGGCTCAGGTACGTGTTGGGGGGCGCCGACTCCAGCTTCTGCTGCTGCTGCTGCCAGATGAGCATGGAGGTGTCCCGGTACCGCAGCCGGGCATAGCCCTCGGACAAGGCTTTCTCCGGCAGCGGCACCCTCCCGTTCATCACCGTGTCAGTCATCTGCTCGGGGACGGCTCCGGCGGGGACAGCTCCCACCCGGCAGCTCCGGAATACAGCCCGCTGCGTCGGTCCAGGTCGACTGCTGCTGCTTCTGGTTCAAGGGGGAACATCCCCAGGACCCAGGAGCTGCCGCTGGGTGCTGGCACCGCTCAGGAGATAGCGCAGGGATGCACAAGGGACAGCCTGGCCTGGCTTAAAGAACGGGACAGAACTTCAGAAAGCTGCTCCACTGGTGATGCTGCTGCGCGGTTCACGCGGTGAAGGGACCACACGCACACGAGCTGCTGCTTGTTGTTAGTCTGTGAAGCACCTTGATGGGCTCAGCAGCGGCTCTGCGGCGCTGGGCGCGGTGCTGGGCTCGCCCCGCAGCTCTGGACCGGGTTTGCTGCCCTGCAGACCGGACCCCGAAGCCGCAGGACAGAGCCGAGGGGTCACCAGCGCCCGGCCCCGAGGGGCGGGGCCCTGCAGGGGTGCGGGAGGCGGCGCTGCCCCCGCCCCGCTCCGGAACCCACCCGGACGGCTCCGCTCCGGGCCGGCAACGGGGGGTGCGCGCCAGGGCCTGGCCGCGGGTCCCTGCCCCGCCACGGCACCAACCCCCACCCCACCCCCCCGCGCGCTCCCTCCGGCCCCGCGCACCCCCCCCGGGGGCTCCCTTCCCCCCCCGCCCCCGGCCCCTGCTCACCGCGAACCCGCGGCCCGGCCCGGCCCGGCCCCGCCGCCGCCCGGCGCAGCAGCCGCGGAGGCGCGACCCGAGCGCATCACGGCGGGAGGAGCCTGGCAGGGGCGGGGCGGGCGGCGACGGGGCCGCGGGGATGGAGCACCCCGGGGGGGGCGGTTACCACGGGTGCCTGCGCTGCCCATCACCGCCCATCGCCGCCCATCCCTGCCCCATCCCTGCCCCATCCCTGCCCCATCGCTGCCCATCGCTGCCCCATCGCTGCCCCATCCCTGCCCCATCGCTGCCCCATCCCTGCCCCATCCCTGCCCCATCACCGCCCATCGCCGCCCATCGCCGCCCATCGCTGCCCCATCCCTGCCCCATCGCTGCCCCATCCCTGCCCCATCCCTGCCCCATCACCGCCCATCGCTGCCACATGGCTTCCCCTTCTCTGCCGATTGACTGCAGAATAGACGTGTGATCTCCGGATATCGCTGCCCCATCCCTGCCCCATCGCTGCCCCATCCCTGCCCCATCCCTGCCCCATCCCTGCCCCATCACCGCCCATCGCTGCCCCATCGCTGCCCCATCCCTTCCCCATCGCTGCCCCATCCCTGCCCCATCCCTGCCCCATCCCTGCCCCATCGCTGCCCCATCCCTGCCCCATCCCTGCCCTCCCCATCCCTGCTGCATCCTCATCCCTGCCCCATCCCTGCCCCATCGCTGCCCCATCGCTGCCCCATCCCTGCCCCATCGCTGCCCATCGCTGCCCAGTCTCCTGGCTGGTCACTGGAGCAGCAGCTGCTTGTGCTGCAGGGTGCGTGGCTCCTTTGGACCCCTTCACTTATGTGACCCTGTGACCACCCCTGCGCAGGGCAATGGGGGCAGGAACACCCTGATGTGAGCTGGTACCTGGACAACCATCCTGCATGGAGAGGAGTGGGATGGAGCAGCATCTCTGGTACCCCATGAACCATTGCTCTGGTGCATGTCCTGGGCCCGACTGCCATAGAATCATACAATGGTTTGGGCTGGAAAGGACCTTAAGATCATCGAGTTCCAACCCCCTGTCACGGGCTGGGACACCTTCCACTAGAGCAGGCTGTTCAAGGCCATGGTATAGAGTATTCACAACTTCCTTGGACAGCCTGTCCTTTCCAGGCACAGTGAGAAACAGGTTTGGAGAGAGCTGTGGGGCTTATTCTTTTTCAGATGGTGCTAAATTTAAGCCCTCAATCTTCTTATCTCCTGTTAGCACAGCACCACCTAATCTCTTGTGAAGGGGCTGATGCACCCATTGTGTCAGAGCTGCTTGAGGTGCTGGTGCTGTCCCACTTGGCCTTCATGGGCACAGCCACAATGCAGGGATCCTCTTCCATCAGATAGAAGGCAAACTGCGATTCCCTGTCCCAGGAGACCCGGACCAAACACAAAGAAGAGGGAAGAAAGAAGAAAGTAAACCTGAACACGCTAGTGGAGCAGTGACTCTCAGAAGAGCCGCGACGCTGCTGCCCCATCGCATCCCAGCAGCACCAGGTACCGGCCCCACATTGTGGGAGCTGCAGAACGAAAACCAAAATCGTTTGGTGGATCCCGACTTTGTTTCCTGGCTCTGGCGGGGATGTGACCGGTTCTGTCACCATCGGGCTCCAGGCACAACAGGAGCAGCCAGCACGTGGGGATGTTGCCGAGATAAGGCAAGGAGAATGGCTGGGAATGGCAAACCTCTGACAGCCAATGGCCAGCTCTGAGCATCCATCGAGCCCTTTGTTGTGAGTCCCTGTGACATCTGCAGCGGGACCCTTCCCACATAAACCTGGAAGCAGCAGCAGTGGATCGACGACGTGAAACCCCAGTGCTGCCCAGCCAATGGTTAGTTCCTCTCCTCCCTGCTCCAAGGAAACCCTGTGTCTGTCTGCTTTGCTTGGGCCTTGCTCTGCTATAAGATGTGGCAGTGTATGGGGCTGGGCTGAGTGAAGGTCCCCTCATCTGCTCCTTAGGGCTGTGAAATGCTTTGGGTGGGTTTGGTTTTGATAAGGAAGATGCTGAGGTGGAGGCTGTTGGAGGAAGGTGCTGAGGGAGGTGTCCCAGCAGCAGAATGATGGTGTTGGTGTTTGTATTGAGCACACGGGGCCATACCAACCCCGTGGGAGCCTGTTTCCAGTGGAGCTGCACTCTCAGGCACTGCTTTTATCCAGGTTAAACAAAGAGGGGCAGCAGATGCTGATCGGTACCAGCACAGAGTCCAGTTCATGCCTCATGCACTGCGCTGTGCCAGGGTGATTTCCCTGCTCTCCCTGAGCCTGAGCCAGGGGAGAAGTCGTGAGCTCTCCTGGCAGGAGCACGGGGCTCTTAGGGGAGGATCCTCGCAGTGACTGCTCCAGGGTGTGGGCTCACAGCAGTGGATGGACCAGAGGGGGAACCATTGCTCATACAGGGTGCCTGTGCGCGGCTGACGGTGAAAGCACCCCGCAGTGTGTCCCTCACTGCTGAGCCGCTGCTGCGACGAGCTGCGGCCTGTACGGGTCTCTAAAATAGCCTGTGAAAGGAGATCAGGGCCCGAGGGTGATGGGGATGCACGAAGCTGCTGCTGGCGATAGGGGCTGGGGCAGGATCTGCTCTGGGCCCTGAGCAGGGGCTGGGGCTTGGTCTAACCCAGGAGGTGGCAATGGCAACACACAGACCCTGGCACCGGGACACGGGGGTTCTGAGCTCTGGCCCTTGTATATGAGGGGTGTTTTCACACGGCTGCTCCCTGGAGTGATGGCAACACAACAGAAAATACCTTTACTGTGAGAGCTGCCCATGTGCTGTGGTTGGTTTGTGAGGTACAATCACCTTGCACATGTTCGTGCATGGAAGTTTTCCTTCTTTCCCTTCCTCCCCTTCTTTCCTTCCTAGTTTTCCCTATTCCACACTGGACTGCGAAGGAGAAGCTCTACACCGGGTCTCCAGCAGAGGGTACTGCCGCCTCTGCCTGTGGGGCAGCAGCCTCAGCCCGGGCTGTTCGTCATTCCCTGCCTTTCCCTGCCTGTCCGTCATTCCCTGCGTGTCATTCCCAGCAGTGCCAAGGGGCAGCAGAGGGGAGCGCCAGCTCTAGGACGTTTGTGTGATCTGTGGCTCGCAGGGGACCGCCGCGTGTGCCGGGCACAGGCTCCTCTCTTGTCGTGCTGCTGCTTTTCGGTTGTTCACCCCTTTCCCCGCCACCCCCCTTCTGCACCAGCGCTGTGGTTGCTGCAGGGGAGGTGAGATCCCGACTTCTCCAACACCTCCTCCAGCGGCCGCCGTCGCAGCTGCGCGCACTGCTCCGTCCAGGGGCCAAGGGCTGCTCATGGGGCAGCGGGAGGGCCCCGCTGCCGCCTGCAGCTCTGACACGCATTCACCCACCTCGCCTTGTCCCTGCCTATGGACCTGACCCCTCAGGGCAGATCAGTGGAGGGTCAGCCAGTTCCCCCCGGCAGCCCCGTGATTCCTGCCCGTGGGTGCTGCTGCACACCCAGTGGGGACCTGAGATTTGTGAAGAGCTCAAAGACTGCGAAACTTATTCTGAGAAATCAAATCACATCCATGGGATACCAGGAACCGGGGCCTGAAGTCACCCCAGAGTGCACCCGGGGCAGTGGGGTTCTGGTTGTGAGACTGGGGTGTATGGATCTGCTCCTCCTTGGATCATCCCACCCCTCGGCATCACATGCACCCGACCGAGGCAGGTTGAGCACATCAGGCTAAAAGGGTCTTATTCAAACTAACCAGCCTGCCGAGCTGTGCTGGGAATGTTGAACAATTGTTTCTTGTTCTTTGGAGGGATCCTCCTTCCTCTGCTGGAACTGAAGGCTCGTGCCGGCAGTCACTCTTTCTTCTTCATCTCCACTTGGCTCCATTTGGAAGAGATTAGAGTAGCGTTTGCTTGACATCCAGGTTAAGAGCTTCCCTTCGTCCCAGCCTCGGCTTCCGGTTTTGCTGATCTGGGAAGCCGGGCTGGAAATTAATCGGCAAACTCTGGGGAGAGGATCTCGGAAGCAAACTCAGAGCAGATTTGCAAAGGGGCTGTTCTGAACGGCACCGATTTGGGTGGAAATCACCAGTGAAAACCTGAGATTTCTCAGGAGTTTGCTGCCAAGGAGCTAATGGCCGGGAGTTGAGGCTGTTAGTAAATACCCCGGTAATTAATCAAGGGAGTTGTCTTTATGCTTAAAACTCGAGGAATCCGACCGCGTGTCTGGGTTAAACCTCTCCCTGCAGTGTTTGCAGCCCAAACACGGGGGGATCACCGGGACCGCGCGCTCGGACAAAGCCCGTCCTGTGTGTGCGGGCAGCGGGGTCCCGGAGGGAACGGGGGAGCCCCGGCAGCGGCACCTCGGCTTCCGTGAGCGGGAGGCGGCGGCGGGAGGGAGCGAGGGGACACGGAAAGGGGGAACGAGGGGGAAATTCCCACTGGGAGAAGAGCGAAGGCGGCGGGAGGCCCCCCCCCCCCCGGGGCCGGGCTCCCGCAGACAAAGGGGCGGTGGGGCCGGGCGGCTCCTCCCGCCTGCCCGGGGCGGGGGCAGGTTTCCGCGGGGCCGGGGGGCGCGGAGCGTGGGGCAGCGCCGCCGTGTCCGGAGCCCCCGCTTTGTTCCAGGGGGGATGCGGCGCGCGTAGAGCCGGGGGGCGGAGGGGCCGCGGCGGGGGCAGGGGCTGCCCTCGGCCGGAAAACTCCG